AAATGTGAATTGGATAAAACTGATATTAAAGAAGCTATATGAAACGAGAATGTTTCGATCAGCTCTGACGTACCCCACGCATGCCTTCTGCTGTCCTCAACGGGAAAGCAAAATTCAATATTGCTGACACATGCGGCACTTGGTTTACAACCTGAAAATTTGCGATCTACTATTGAAAAGTCATTTCTTTACACTGTCATTCTAACTAACATTGATACAACAAATAACATCACCACTGAATATATATCAATATGAACGATTTAAAAATCATCAAGCCATGATTTAATTGACCACCAATCTATCCATCTTACAGTTAAGGCCATGACAACATACTAATCGTTCTAATCATCGACATCAAGCAAACAAACGGCACATTCAAATTCATTATGAATTTCTACAATCCTTTCATATGAACTAATCAGTTTCAAGCCGAAAATCAATTCAATTCAACGTAAATTATCGATCTTTCCAAGAATTCGACCAAGAAATCGAGTAAAAATGAAACACGATCAAAACCAACTTGATGGTTCACGACACACGACGTTCCCCAACCGGCCAGAACCAACTTCATATGCGGTCGTTTCTTACGCACTTCACGCACTTTTGCTGCCACTGTATTCACAGCAAACTCAGCTGCTTCACAAACCGAAAATTTCGATTGCACCGGGAGGGCGATACGAACCTGCTCGATTTCGCCAACCACATTCGGTAATAATGTTCTGAAAAAGCGATTAAACAACGACATAATAATAGTATTAACACTAATAATACTAATACACGAAAAATTTAACAAGTACTTGAAGATATAATCGTGCGATTTCTCCTTCGAACGATAGTCAGCATGCGATATACTCGGCGATACGGCTATCACATAGACATTATCGATGCACCGTTTCTGAAAAACGCGCATTCATATCACACATACACTAACAACGACGAATACAGTTCAAAGGTGATATCAACATAACAATCTGATCTAACGAAATGACAATCACTGCACG